TTTACTATTTTGAATTTTACATAAGTTTTAAGTCAAATACTTTTTGCTATGATATTAAAATTCAAGATTGTTACCTTAATATGTTGATGCGCATGATTTTTCGTCCTGGCGCTAAGTGAAGTTGCTGACGACTCATCGGAATCAGACGTTGACTTGGTATCAGCAGCAAGCTCTTCTCCATTCTGTTCCACTTGTTGTTGCTGTTCTGATTGAGAAGCAGATCGTTGTAGAAGCATTGCATGTTGGAGATTTTCCATGTTCACTTGGGGGAATGTAATTTTTACAGGGTTTCCCTCTTTTCGTCTTAATATTTGCTCTTCTGTCTCTGCCTCAGAATTCGCTCGTGCTTGCTGGCTCGCGTCTTTCATAGAATTTGTGTCGTATTCCGCTAGATTCGATTGTGTGGGAGTCTGTTGCTGATAATATGTATACATGTTCGATGGATCCAAACCAAACAGACCACTGCTTTGTCGCACGTTCACGCGTTTCTCTATCGAAACAATTCCAATTATTTAATTATTTGACAGAATTTCCTACTTTCATTTGATTAAATTGACATCTCACCATCTTGACTTTGCGCATCAAACACTGACAGTTTGTTATTCTCTAAGGTCGACTTCTTGGCCACATCATCGTCCTTACTACGTTTGGTCTTCTGCTCTGTAGTATCGAGTCCCCCATCGATAGATCTTCTGCGACGATTATGTACTACCTGAGAAAATTACTCAGTTAATAAATTGAATGTTCATACAACTCAACAAAAACATCCAGATGTTATGTTTCCTATAATATCATTTCGGTTTAAATTCTATAAATCTGGATTCACTAATTTTAATTAATTACATTCAATAATAGTGACATAAAATAATAGCAAGTTGATCAACTACATAAATAATATAATTTCCGTGAAAAATAAATGTATTGCCACTCACCGGTGGGATGAATGGATAATACTGCGGTGGTATCATTGCAGGAATTCCTTCAACAACTCCATTTCCTTTAAGGAAACGCCTGTAAGCAGTCCGCGATATTGGCGGAATTAAATACGGAGAATGATAAAATGGTGACAATGCGTGCGCAGGGATATCGTACGAATTCGTGTAGACTGGATGCAGTTCCAAATGATAACCAGGATCTTCTTCAGTTTTTGATTGCTCGTCGTTTTCGGATGACTG